GGGGGGGGGGGGGGGAGAGAAACTAGGAATTTTGAAAAAAATTTGGGGGCCCCTCAAGAATTATATGCCTTTTCAAGGTCCCCCCTTACGCATTTTATACTTTTTAAAGACCCCCTCCCCCTCTTGTACCGCTTGAAAATATATATAGTTTTGTATTGATGGGTAGCCCGATTAGGACAAAGCTTAGGAGAGCAAGTGATCAATGACGAATATTAAAAGAGATATAAAATTTGATGAAACTAGTTAAATAAATATTTTACAATCTATTTAGGTAGGTTACTCTATGGCATATGCTTTTCTCGCCTACATCCACTTTTATATTATGTTTTTATGCTTTACTCGTTATGTTAATACCCAGTGTTCCAGTTTATGCATCTCTTTTGGTTGTTCACAGTATATAAACGAGAAACAATCCTTTTGTTGGGAAAAATCCGAAAACCCCCCTCTTTCACATAATGTAATTTTTAAGACCCCCATCTCAATGAAAAAATAATTCAGGACCCCCTACTTTCCCCTCCATCGCACCCCCCTCTTGCCATATTTAATGACCGGTCCCTTTATCAAGTATAATATAGATATTTATACATATTTATAAAATAGCCTTTTAAAAACACGGGCGCTGATTGGTCAAAAGCTCAAAAAACCCGTGTTTCTATAACTCGATGGAAACACGGGGAATTTTCACGCGGGTTGCGTGGATTGCGCGGGAGTTTTAATTAATTTAGCTCTTTCTCACAGTCGCATCGATCTCGAGAGATCGACGGCTAGAAATTTCATACCTTCGTTTCAGTGCATGCTATGAAGACAGAAATACCACCATGCGATTCAGAAATAAAAGAACAACTAGTTCCAAACGATAGTTATAGTCATTATTAGCATTGTAACGATTTATGGACCTTTGAAAGTCAAACGCGATCTTATACTATCAAATTACGCAATTGTCGATCTGAACGATCACATTTTTGAATAACGTGCCTACTCTAGCCTATGCCTGCTCCGGCCTGTACCTGCACTTACTGGTTCACGTTGTGGGCGACCTACAGTATATAGTTCTTGCTGTGTCTTTTTCAATTTGAAACTTTAGACTATCCTTGGATCCCTAGTTTACCATTCTGTAACGCTTCCTCAAATGGGTGATCGAGTTGTCATTTTTAGCTAAAATACGGTAAATTTGCGAAGTTTTGCATGTGGGCAATTTCAGGTAAATCCAGGTAGATTTGCAGAAGAAATACAGGTAAAAGAAAACACAATTTCAGGTAATTTCTAGGCCCAGAGAAAGTTAATTTACAAAAATAAGTGTTAATTTGGAAAAGAATGAAGTTAAAAGAATGAGGTTGAATTTTAGAAAAAAATTTGGATAAATGGAGAAAATGGTTGATGTCCGGAAAAATTTTTTTACGTCACGAAAAATTTTGGTATGTCCGAAAAAAATTTTTGACCCCTAAAATGGTACATTGACCGAAAATATTTTGGCTACGGGGGAGGGGGAAGTCGCCCAAAAAAAAATTCAGGTAAAAAAGATATTTTCAGGTAAATTTCGAACTTTTGATACTTTCAGGTAGATTTAACCAAACACCCCCCCTGAAACAAGTCCCTCGGGACGGCTCTGTATATATACTGTAACATCATTTATTTTTATTTAACATAAATTTTCTAGATAAAATTTTGGGCTAGTTTATTATTCCAAGTTAAATTTCTCAGTTATTTTATTCAATCCTACCATATCCTGGGTATATAATGTTACAGCGATTCTGGTTATATTTGAACTGAAATTCCAGGTTAAATTAACCAGACTATCAGAGGCGCCGGAATATCGATCATTGCGGGGGCAGATATTCATATATTCGTGTCACAGACTGTAAAAACAATCGATTTCAAAAGAAATTAATTGGGCAGAACACGAATATATGAATATCTGCCCCCCCCCCCCAATTATCGATATTCCTGCGCCTCTGCAGACTATGTTGTACGTTGACAAATAACCATGAGTCCCTGCGTACAGCAAAAAACAATTTCTTACTAAGAAAAAATATTAATTTACGAAAAACATTTCTTAAAATTACAAAATAGTTTCTTAATTTCAAAATAATTCTTAAAACTAGGAGTTACAATCACAAGGAAAGTGCTGCCTCACCCCCGACGGGATCAAAGGCTGTACAATTTTCTGAATTAGCTAGGGGCTGTTTATACGATCCCGCTTTGCCAGATCAGCCAGGACGAGATGGCATGTTCTCAAAATATTGAAAAAAGCAGGAGTGAATATTCTTCAATGAACTTTGATTCTTTCCTCCCCCCTTCTTTTCAGATTTGATTCTTTTCGATCCCCATATCTTTACTACATCAGCCTCAAAGGCCTGTACCTAATAGTAATACTGTGACATGGTATATTTGGAGTGCTATGGCCTATGGGGGCAAATGGGAGCATAGACAATCGTAGACAAAACGAAATCAACATGAATGAAAATGAAGGAAATGAAATGTTGAAGGAAATTTCAATGCCTTAAATTTCGATCAAAATCAGGAGAAAAATTAGAAAAAATCATTTCGGAAAGTGGAAACACTGATTTTCACGAATTACCCACGGAAATTGTTCTCTTCTTTTCCCTCTGCATTTTCATTTTTTATATTCTTGTTTGATTTTCTTCCCTAGCCCTAAGTCCCTTTGATTCTTTCCTCCACCCCAGGGGTGGGGGGATTATAGAAGAATATACACCCCTGGAAATAAGTTGTCGTGCACAATTCAGCAAAAAACTACATTATTTTCAAGAAATTCAGATAAATTATAGTTAACTGTAAATGAAAGCTAGGTTGTCCAGGCAGCGATAACCAGGGGCTTCAGAAGCGAGGGGCCAGGGGGCTGCCGCACCCCAACTTTTTTAGTTGGTGGACTATTCAATGTCCTTGGGCCTCCACTTTTTAACGATGGTCGGTAATAAACCACAAATTTAAATGATATTATTTCAGTTACCTGTGTAGACAAAACAAGTAGAGATATTTTATGACATTCTGTTACCTTTAGAACTCTGTAAATCTCCTTCTAAAGTGCAGGAAATGGCTTGCATTTCAGACTCTAGTTTTAAAATTTTCCTGGGGAACATGCCCCTGGACCGTCTCCGTTGGAAACAAAACGTTGACACCACTTATTGATTCTGGAAGTTCTGACAGCTAGTTCTGAGGGCATGGCCAATCACTTTGATCTTCATATCCATCCATCAACACAAAATGTATCTAAGGCCCTGAGTTCCCTCAAGTCATGATCACATGTTGTCGGTGACTGCTATATAGATATTGTTCTGAATGAACATGTGTATCCAACCTGTTGTCTGGGGATACTTAAAGATCTTTGTAGTGATATAATCCTAGGTCAGGATTTCCAAAAAGAGCACAAGAATGTTATTATCGAATCTGGTGGTTCTAAACTAGAGCTGATGATTCCAAAGTCTACCACTGTTTGTGTTCTCTCTGCTGCTTTGTTTGAAGAGCCGTCTCTTTTTGCGAATATTCGTCCAGATTGCAAACCGATAGCAAGTAAATCGAAACGCTTTAGTAAGAAAGACTAAGATTTTATACAACAGTTGGTTAATTAGCTTCTCTCGGAAGGGATCATCGAACCCAGCAATTCAACTAGGAGAACACCGGTTGTTGTTCCAACTTTCCATATTTGGATAATATAACAGTAGCTGGGCGAGAGCAAGAAGAGCATGATATGGATATGGTATTCGACATGGTGTAATTACTCCCAATTCAGAAAGACTACGCCCTCTCCAAGAGCTTCTACCATCCGAGAATGCCCGAACCCTTCAGAGAGTGGTTGGCATGTTCGCTTATTATGCAAAATGGATACCCCATTTTTCTGACAGGATCAAACTTTTTATGAAGGCTGCAACATTCCCACTGGATTCAAACGCTCTAGCTGGATTCAATACTCTCAAGAAAGAACACAAAAACGCAGTTCTTCAACACATAGATGAGATACTTCCGTTTGTGGTCGGTTAACGTCTGACTTGTATGTTTTACTCGCATTCCTGCGGTCGCTCTGTCCACGTAAACTTTTTCAGCTTCTTTGAACAACCTAGCTTTAGGAATTCCCTGACTGTAAACATAATTGGGAACTCCTTCAATGATAACTTTAATCTTATCAATATTCTGGTAAACATACTCCTCGCTGCTTGTTTTTGTTTTGTTGGTAAACAACATCACGATGGCTTTCTTACTTTTCCTCGGAACGTTGATGGTTTCATTGATGAACGTTGAATCTCTGTCCCATTCCACCGTCTTCGGCAAACTAACATGTTCAACAACGTCCGACCAGTATCAAATTGACTTTCCACAGTTTTTACCAACTCAGCGTTGTCGATGGATTTGTACTCCAGATTGATGCATTCCTGGGTATACCCAGCTACTTTCTCTCCACCCTGAGCATTCATGATGTCGTCTGCCGCTGGTAAGGTCTAAACATATTGCAATTCACTCGCCATGTTGTGTAGAGCATACCCCCATGATCTTTTAAAATTTTTTCGATTTTGATTTTCTAGCTGATTTGCGTAGCTGCATAGCGTAGTCGCTTAGGCTTCCGCATTAGCTGCATCGTCCTTGGATGTCTTTTTCCGCATCGCCTCGCTAGCAATTCTGTCTTCCACAATGTCGTCCCTTAATTTTTTGGAAAGCCACAAATTATTGTATACTTCCAAAAGACTTTCACCGTTATTATCGTAAATTTTCTCTCCGGACATACAGATTTCTATCTTTTCTGCAACAGCTTTCCAAGATTGTTCCGGAAGGTAGGATTTTTCATTCTTGCTTTTTAAATCAAACACTAGAGAGATACTGTCAGGCGCAAGCACAGTATCTGCTGTGAGTTTGGGAATATTCACATAGATTTCTTCTGCAAGTCCAGCTTGTTGGAGATTGCCAATATTCAATAGTTAATGGAATACTTAAAGTTAATTAATGCAAGCAGGAGGTTTAGTAAAAGTCCCTCGGGCTACGCCATCGGGACTTTTACTAAACCTCCCTCGGTTTGCGGGGACATTTAATCACTAATTTCCCTCAAAGCATGCGTTTAATTATAATAAACTGAACGCTACCGCGATCTTTTACTTCTATTTTGGAGTTTGTCCCTGACGGGAGCGCCGATGGCGCGATGCCGGATAATTTTTCCAGCAATAACAGCAGCAAGAATTTGAGCTAGGAAAGATTTTGCCTAGGAGAGCAAGACCTTTTGCTCCCCCGGGCAATGCGGTTGCAAGGATGTTGATGGTCGGAACCAGTATTGAAAGAACATTTTTCTCTAGACTTGCCAGCGCTTTTCCAACAGCACCCAATCCTTTTTCAGTTTGAAAAATTCCCTTTTCCCTGCTACCACCACAGTCGCAATTATTCTCGCAATGGATACAGCGACAGCGGCCAGGACTCCGGGAAATCCTTAAATTTCTCGAAGGTAACACGAGGGTTGTTTTCAACAATATCAGCCATTTTCTTAACACTTCAGTCAATTCAATAAATATTTTTTGTCTGTGAGGTTTGTCATCCTCAAACTCAATATTCTCCTCAAAATGATCAATGTCTTTTGAGAGCTATAGAACTTTCTCAGTTGCAGGCATGTTTCTTATTTCTAATGCTCCGACAATCTCTCTGATTTCTTGTTTGGTGAATTGGTTTTTGTACCGTTCTAGTGTTTCCAACACGGATTGTTCTCTCTGTTCACAATTAGCTGCATGTCATAAAATGCATGTCATTCAGTATTTCGTTTAGTACTTCTGGCTCGGGAGGATCTCGTAATGTTTCCTCAACATCTGCGGCTGGCGTTTCTTTGTCTTCGTTGACAGCCAGATTAAATATTTCTTCGAACTTCTTACCATATCTGTTTTTATAAAATTGACCGTCTTTTGTAACAACTGCATGGTTTTTGAAATTTATACTTCCATTGTGTTGGGGTTCAATATAATTTCTGCAGTGTTTGGTCCGTTAGTAACAAGAAGGTTTTGTTCCAAACTTCTAAATATTGCTTTTTTATTATTTGAGAAGCTTCTAACGGTTTCGCTATCTCACCTCTTTTTCCAATGAGGACAAATCGTCGTTCAAACCGTCATTATTTAGGAGATCGTCAATTATTGTTTCGGTTTCTTCATACTCGTCTTCACACTCGCCTTCCTCAGATCGGTTCTCAAGGTCCTTGAAGTCATTCAGCTCTATTGTTTCAGCCATCTTTTATTGTTCTTACCAAAGGAAATTCTTGTTCGTAATACCTTCCGATTATGTCTTTCCCGTACTCCGGATCTTTAAGACTGTACATATTCGGATCACCACGGCACACTTCCACCACGACATACAATTCATAATCAAAATTAGGTTCGTACCCTTTTTTGAACGTTTTATATTTTACCTCAACTTTAACATGATCACCTACTTTGAATTTTGGTTTTGGAAAAGTTTTAAGTGGGTAGCCGTAAACCCCATATATAGTCCGGACTTCGTCCTTGTTTTCCTCATTAACGTCAGCAGGTTTCATTTGCATGGTCCTGTGTTTCTACCAGGGCCGTCCTCAGGAAATTCTTCAGGGGGGGGGGGTGTGTGCAAAATCATTCCAATCGACTAACGAACGAGCTTGTACCAACCACATGCTAGCGATGGAAGCTTGCAAAATTTCCGATGGATGTCACTAAATTCAGGGACCGCGGAGCGATTTTTGGATTAAGGGGGCTATAGCGAACGCCGAAGGCGTGAGTTTGTTAGGGGGTCCGGGGGCATCCTCCCCCAGCAAATGTTGAAATCTGAGACCTCCCAGAGCCCCTGAAATGCAATCAAATTTACTAGTTGCTGTTAAGATGTTTCTTAATAGACGACTCTTAATCTAATATACTTGTCTATGTAAGTTATAAATATATTGTTAACTAATCTGAAAGATTTCAGTATTCTTAGTTTATAAAAATCACATATGTATGGAAAACTATTGGGAGCCTCCTCCCTGCTCCGCGGTCCCTGAAATTACGCCTGTTGTGCTGTAAATGAAGCCTGTTCTAAATCGTTATATTTGATAATCGAGTTTTTGGCGGGAATATATTGTGTTCAGCTGTTCTACCCATCAAACATGCTACATGTACTTCATTCAAGATCTTTTTTATTACTATATGGTTTAACTGTCAATCTGGGTTTGTTTTATATCATCATGCTGTATGAATTTCCAATAACCAAAATTTCCGTTTCTAATATAACAGGTGAAAATTATATCGACAGTAGTTTTCTACGTCAAAATATTTTTGTCTGCCGACTAGAATAGCACTCCTGCCAAGTGCCGACAGAAGCTTCGAATAAAATTTCTAACC